TCGAACAAGGCAGGTGTGCAGGTTTGACCATGTTTTCATTTGTTTTTGTACGGTTGCTGCAATCAGTTTGAGCATGTCCATCAGAGTTTGTGCATTGAGCAGTCATGTATATTGACCTCCACATCAAGAAGGTGGGATTGCAGAAAGCCTCCTCAGTTGTGTGCCCTTTCATTTGTGCATGTGGATTATTGGGGGAGTAAGTGAAGTCATCATGATTGAACCATCATGATTGAACCAAGCAAAGCCTGAAAACATGGCCCATCGATTCTTTAGGTTTTAGTTTGGCGGCATGGATACCTCTGCTGAGTCTACTGTTCAGATTGCACTTTTGAGTGGCAGGGCCACCACGGTTGCAGTTGGGCAGGACGAGTCGTTGGAATCAGTGAAGAAGCGTGCACAGACGGCACTTGGAGTACGAACCGGCAGGCTGATTGACACTACTGGTGCGTTGGCCAAGCGAGCCAAACTTCAGAACGGTGATGTACTGACCTTACATATTTCCCAGACAGCCATTCAGAGCACCGAAAGAGCTTTTGCTGCCATTCTGGGTGACAGTTCCGTCGCTTGCTATGGCCATCGTGAGTATGGCGGGGATTCGACGGCTGTGCAGGATCAACTTGTCAACGTTCAGCATGTGCAAGCCACTGAACGGGCTTTTGCAGCCATTCGCGGTGATGGCACTGTCGTGACTTGGGGAGACCGTGACTTCGGTGGTGACAGCAGCGCTGTTCGGGACCAGCTGAAGAATGTGCAATGCATTCAAGCTAACCACGTGGCGTTTGCAGCCATTACTGCTGACGGTTCTGTTGTGACTTGGGGCTCTGTCCAGGATGGTGGGGACAGCAGTGCCGTGCAGGCCCAACTTCGGAATGTGCAGAAGATCCAAGCTACCGAGACCGGTTTTGCTGCCATCCTTGGAGATGGCTCTGTCGTCGCCTGGGGCTATGTGGGCCAAGGCGGCGACAACACCGCCGTGCAGCATCAGCTGAAGAACGTCAGGGATCTCCAAAGCACGATGGAAGCCTATGCAGCTATTCTTGACGATGGATCTGTTGTTACCTGGGGCAATGTGGACACCGGCGGCGACTGCAGCGATGTGCAAGATCAGCTGAAAAATGTGCAATGCATCCAAGCTTCCAGCGGGGCCTTTGCTGCCATTCTGGCGGACAGATCCGTTGTCGCTTGGGGCGATCGAGGGTTTGGAGGCGACAGCGGCAGTGTGCAGTACAAGCTTACGAATGTGCGTGAGATCCAAGCCTCATTTGCTGCTTTTGCAGCCATACATTTTGATGGATCAGTCACGACGTGGGGAGCTTCGCGACACGGTGGATGCAGCAACCGCCTAGAGTTGTCCGGAGTCGATAGCATTGCAGGTTACCCGTCTGGCTTTGTCGCACTGTCTGATGGTGCTCCCTTTCCTTGGGGTTCAAGATGAACGACGAGCTCGAGGCCAGGAAGAAAGTGAAGCAGATTCAAGCCACTGATCGTGCCATTGCTGCCATTCTTGAAGACGGTTCTTTGCAGGTTTGGACTACTGCTGGCAACCCGCGCTGTGCCTCGCAGGATCAGCTGCAGAATGTGCAGCATATCCAAGCTTGTGCTGACGAAGGCGGATTTGCTGCTGTGTTGGCCGATGGAACTGTGGTCGCTTGGGGTGGAGATGACTTTTGACCCCAGCTGCTGCTTCGCGAAAATGATGGAAAGCCTCGCCAGCTAAGCTTCGCCCCGAATTCTGAGATCAGCAGTCTGAAATCAGCAGTCTGGAATCAGCAGTCTGAAATCAGCTTCGTCTGAAATCAGCAGTCTGAAATCAGCAGTCTGAAATCAGCAGTCTGCATTTCTGTCATTGCAGTGGAGCAAAGCTGAGTACGAAGTTTGCTCAGCACATGCTTCAATGGATGGCCACCTGTTCTTCTTCTTTTTATTATTTTCATCATCTTTATTGTTAGTACTATTCATTAAGGTGCCTGCATCATAGAGCCATCAAGTATCGTTGATGCCGAAGCCTCACTTCTTCGGCACGGTGTGGCTGTGATTGCCGTCCCGGATGCACGGCACGCTTGCGAGTGAGGGCAAAAGAGGGATCTGATTGGCACTGTCTGCCAATCCCGTAGGCTCCATGCATGCAAGGCTTTTACCATGCACACTGGCCAGAGGCAGGCTGTTTTTCTTGCAGTTAGTCTGGAGCTGGCATTTCGAGTTGTGCTGCACAGAGTGCCGGCAGCCGCAGGCATCAAGCTCCGTTCCAAGTCATGTTGCAAGGGCAAGCTGTAATGCATGATCGAGAATGCAGGCAGACTCGCAGTGCTTTGCAGAATCAGCCTTATAGAAAGGTTTTAGCGATGGAGGGCCAAGACAATGCACTCGTCTCCAAGAGATTCTGCCGTGGCTATGGAGGAGCGCTGGCATAGTGGACCATTGCGAGAGGCTGAAGGCAAAGTCGAGGTCTGGCAGATCGTCGATGGCGAGGAGTCGTGCCTTATGGGAATCGGTGAAGGGATGTCAGTGTCGGAGATGATCAAGGCTGCAGAGAGCCCGGGATGTGGGAGCACCAAGCTCCGTGCGACGGCTGTCGCTGTCCACGTCACGGACACGGGAGTCCCCGTGACGCCAACGGGCTCCGATGACGGGGGTGACACGAAGAAAGACGACGACAAGAAGAAGGACGATGACACCGACCCAGATGATGACAATAAGAAGAAGGACGATGACAGCGATGATCCCTCCGAGAGTCCCCCAAAGAAGAGGAGGAAGGACGATAACAGGAAGAAAGATGATGACGAGAAGAAGGACAAGGCCAGCAAGGACAGCCAGATTGAGGCCAGATTGTGTGCCGTGGAGGCTTCATTGGGGGTGCTGGAGTATCAGGTGGCTCAGTTTTACCGGCTTTTGGAGGATGTCAAGAACAAGGACGATGAGTCCGTGAAGAAAGACGACGACAAGAAAAAGGAAGATGACAGGCAGAAAGACGACGACAAGAAGAGGGTCGATGATTTCTTCGGGTTCATATTCATGACTGAGACGGAACATGGGAACGCAGCAGCTCACACGCCATCCGATGTTTCACATTGACACGAGGGGTGAGTTTCTGTCGTGTGTGCGGGGTTTGTTACATATAGGCTAGGGGTCGCAGCCCATATATCCTAGGCATAGGCCGGGTTGGGTTAGCGTTTCCAAACAACTGAGCACTTTCAGCACACACGGCCGCTCGAGAAGGTGCTTGCTTTAAAGTACGGCTGCTGCGCTCTGGGTTTACCCTCCCCGCCCTTACGGTTGCCTCGCCCCCCTGTCGATTCAGGGCTGCCCTAACCCCCTTCGGCCCCCTGGTCGTAGGAGTGCCTGTCGAGTGCCCTGTGTGCCCGCACCCTCCCCAAACTGCCGAACCTTAAAACCCAGCCCGATCCGCCCCCCTCTCCCATAAGCCCGGAGCCTCCCGAAAGACCCTTCAAGCCCCAGAGCCTCAATCCCACTATGCCAGGCTGCATCATCGACTCCTGTCTCGGGGAATCCCGGCTGGGACGAACTTGAAGAGGCTCCTTGCTGGGATGTCGTCTGATCTAGATTTAAGCAGCTCGCCACAAACCCTGAGCCCAAAGCCGAAACCTTAATCTCTTTTAGGACAGGAATGAGCATCGTCCCTGGCCCAGATTGCTTCGAGGTGGAGCCGTGGAGCCTCGAGTCTTGGAGGGCTGCTGCTGCTGGCGATTTTTTGTCAGGCCCCAAGCCCCGAGTGTTGCATAAAAAGGTTTATCGGGAGAGCATCAGCCCAGGGGCCCATCAGGATCAATGGGGATTTGGCCGGGATGGGATTTTCCCGGGGATCGATCAGTTCAGTTCGACCTGGCTTGAGACTTTACTGTGTCCCGAAACAATTTAGACAGTAAGACTCTGTTAGACCATTCTCAGGAGACCCAGATCCCAACACACGGTCTGTCATTTTGACTCTGGCTCGTTGAGTGGTGTCGGCAGACATGGTGCAGCAGGGAAACATTGCTTCATGTGAGGAGTTCGCAGAATCACGTAAGTGTAGGCATTCATGTTCAGTGATTCTAGTAGGATGTCTCTGTTTCCGAAAGATTCCAATGATGGCTTCCTGCTTCGTGTGCAGAGAGTGGCTCCCTGGGTGTTCGAGCCGCTCTTTCACGATGTCACGAGCTCCGTGTTTAACCGGGAGCGCTTTATTGATGTGCTGGAGATTGGCGCGCATGCAGTCTCGACTGGATGCACGCAGGTGTCATGGCTTTAGAGTTGCGGGTAGGACATGCCACTGTTCCTGTTTCGTTGGATTCACTCATTAGCCATCCTCTCAGGAAGGTTTGAGAACTGCCAGCTTGTGGAGCAACGAGCAGTCGCAGCACGAGAGCATTGTTCATGAACCTGGCCAGGATTTGTGCCGCTGTGCTGCATTTCCGGATTGTGGGAAGTAGTGACCAAGGGAGACGGGTAGTTGGTTTGAGACATTCATCCGAGGTTTCCAGATGTGCTCGAGATTGTTTCCCGGCGGGATATGCTTTTGCATGTGCCTCGCTGCACTAATTGATGTTGTCGTGCTTGGGCATCATGTGATCACTAGATCGATTTGCGACTTCGGCTGTTCCCTCTGAGGCCGTTTGCTTGGCCAGAAGCAAGGCGGCACGTCCGCAAAGTGGTGGAGACTTGCCTTATACTGATATTGCCTCGTGTGGTCCATGCCTTCTTTCACTGATTCGTCTCCCTACACTCAGGATTTCATCATTGAGCTGATTATCGTATGCGAAAATGTAGACGTTCGGATTGTGGTGCATATGCCATATGAATTCCTCGCGGACTTCAACAGGCGGAAGGACAGGGTCTAAGCCGGTGTATTCCTTGTAACTTGAAATATTGCACCTGCTTTCTGATGCAATTAGTTACAGTGCAGCATCCCGAGTCACGCCTGACCATCAGTTAGTTCTGACATCATGCGCCGCTCGTTTGCCGGATGCCGTAGTTCAAACAAATTCTTTGACACTTGGATAGCCATGTTGCGAATCACGAATCTTTCCGGTACCCATTTGGCAAACATTCCCCTGGTGGAGCTCAGCGATGTCAAAGCACTCAAGCAGCAATTGCACAAGCAGCATGGCCTGCCGCCACGCTTCAGACAAAGGATCCTTGACGAGGGAAAGGTGTTGGATGATGGTATCAAGCTGGAGTCCCCAGCGCTTCTGGAGGTTACCTCGAGCTCGGTAATGGATCTGCAGGTTTTGATCTTGGAGTTTTGCGAGGCTTCCGAAGAGCAGAAGGACCAGCTATGGGATGCGGCCGACGAGAATTTCGTGGCCGAGGCAGTGGGCGGAATAATAAAAAAACCGTCTTTGAAGTGACATGCAGGAAGTCTAAGTCTAAGTTTAAGTTGTCTGGAAAACAAAGCCGTGGTGTGCTGTTTGCCATTGCTTGACTTCTCAGCCTGGTTCAACGGAACAAAAGGGTCGCAACTAGTCAGGTCGAAGATTTGTTGAAGCTCCCGATGAACCCGGATTTTGTCGACACTTATGAATCCATCACGCCATTGATGCAAGCCTCCAAAAACGGCTACCGGGCTGTGGCGCAACTGCTCCTGGAAGCCGGCGCTGATAAGGATTTCCAAGACGGCGCGGGGTGCACGGCATTGATGTGGGCATTGGAATGTGAGCAAGCTGAACCAGTTCTCCGGATGCTGTTGGAGGCAGGTGCAGAAACGGATATTCAAGACGATGGTGGGTGCACGGCGCTGATGCACGCTGCTCGCTGCGGTGAAGTTGAGTCTGTGTGGTTGCTCCTAGAGATGGGTGCCAATCCGGATCTCCGCGATGCACACGGACGCACGGCCCTAATTCTTGCAGTTTCCGCTGGTCGTAAACGAATTGTGGAGTCGCTCTTGGAGGGCCGTGCTGATCAAAATGTACGTGACAATGACGGCTGGACTGCGGCAACGCTGGCGCGGGACTTTGGTCACTGCAATCTCGCACAGTTGCTTCGATTCACTTACCAGACTCAGAGACAATCGTCCCGGAGTCGGAGTCCTACAGTTGCTCCTGGACGTCGGACTTGAAACCTCTTCTTTCACCTCTTGTCTTGCATGGCTATCGTTATCGCAAGCACACAACAACTTGAGCTGTGCAAAACCTAACCGGCAACGACTAGAGGATTCATCCTGCGCTGCAAAGAAAAGTTGTGTGTCTGTCTGTGTGCTTGCATTGATGGCAGCGGGTCCTGCTAGATTGGAATGCGTCAGAGAGACTGTGTGTTTCTGCTTGGGGAAGACGGATTGCGAAAGCATGTTCGCATTTTCACACATGTGGAATTTGTCACGTGCAAGCACATGGACAATCATTTCGAGTGCCACAACCCGGAAGCCGCACAAACTAGCACATGTGGTTTGAAGCCGTGCGTGCTTGTGACTGAACAGTAGCCGTCCAGAGCAAGGCATTTCGCCCCGATCGAACGAGGAGAGTGTTTCTTCAGAGGCGAGCTCTCCCCAATCTTGATCAAAACCGCTTGCGAAAAATTGGCCAAAGCGCCTGACCAGTGGAAACCAGCTGAGAGATGGAAGGAAGTTCATGACGACGTGCCTTGGGAAATCATGGTTCGCTACCTGCGTTACTGGCCACGTATTGGCTCCCGCATTACAGGAGGCCTCAGGCTTCTTCGACGGTACCAAGGCCCCTTCACGAAGTGTTATCAGGTGGGTGAAGGAGAAGAACCGCTGGAGTTGCCGCGCGTTTCTCTCGTTTGTGATTTTGTTTATGTTTGGAACTACGAAGATGAACAACAACGGCAGTTTGTCCTTCAGATGAAACCCCTCTCACTTGTTGCCATCCGTCTCGGTGGTCCGGGGGAACTTCCTGACCTTGATGCTGGAGCAATACCTTTGACCGACCAGCTGAGTGCAAAGTTGGGGTGGCAATAATTAATGGATCTTGAGGCGGGAAGGCAGAGTGCCAGCAGCTGGGAAGGCAGAGTGCCAGACGTTGTCGCGTCAACCAGCTGTACCCTGCTTCGCCTGCACGTGATTCGCTTGACAGTGTGGTCAACGCAGAAAAGCGCAACATCCAGCAGTTCGTAGCCACTTCACGTGATTTGTGCATCCCTAATACTATCAAACCCTAAAACTATGGCACTCTGCCTTCTAGCCCCAAACCCTATAAATACTAAAGACCCTGAAACTCTAACCCTAACCCTTTCATTACCCTCAAACCCTAACACTATGGCACTCTGCCTTCTAACCCCAAACCCTAAATATACTAAAGACCCTGAAACTCTAACCCTAACCCCTTCTTGCAGTAGGACTATCCCATTATCTTGGAAACATTCTGGCTGCACATTCTGTTTTTGCTGCACCGAAAATCTGCCATTCTGAGATCAGCAGTCTGAAATCAGCAGTCTGAAATCAGCAGTCTGAAATCAGCTTCGTCTGAAATCAGCAGTCTGAAATCAGCAGTCTGCATTTCTGTCATTGCAGTGGAGCAAAGCCGAGTACGAAGTTTGCTCAGCACATGCTTCAATGGATGGCCACCTGTTCTTCTTCTTTTTATTATTTTCATCATCTTTATTGTTAGTACTATTCATTAAGGTGCCTGCATCATAGAGCCATGAGTTGTTCTCAGTTTTGTTTGAGCACAGGACGTGTTCGATGAGCTGAAGTTGGTGAAGGAGTCGTTTGCCATGTCCTGCTTCGGGGCCCAGGGACAGCTTTCTGGACAGCCTCTTGGTGCATTGGAGTCGGTTTGCACTCGATTGAGATTGAGGTTTTGGGCCGGTCAGTGGTTGTCGCAGGAAAACTTTTGCAACCCACGTAGCCGGGCCGATGAGACGTTTCCAACTCTTCCTTCGGCATGTGCGTCCTCAACCTCTCAACTCCTGTTGCCGACTGCTTTCGGCTCAGGGTTGCAACTCGGCACAGGTAGGGCTCGTGGACAGGAAGCTGTCCGACTATGATGCCTATGAAGGTTGTGTCCGAGCTGTTCCCCGGGCCCGGGAGCAGCTGGCCCAAAATCTCGGGCTGCCAGAAGGAGCCTAAGCGAGTCGGCTGCCTTTGGAGTCCAACGTCAATTCACCACCAGCCTGTACAAGTTCAGTCTTTCAGCACGATGCCGTTTCCCGCAGGACCGATAGACAAGCAAGACCCATGTCCGAGAAAGCACTGGGTCAGGATGAGTGAGACCGAAGAAGCAGCCGCATGGAGGATCCTACAACCGCAGGTCTATGTGGACAACATCCTGACCCAGTTGTGTCCTGACTTGCCCGAGCAGTTTCTTCGCTCGTTGTTGCCGGATCCAAGAGCCGACTTCACCGACAAAGACTGGAGATATGAATGTGTTCGTGCCCGAAGGCTTCTCAGGCTCTTATGGTGGCTTAACCATCCTTCTTCTCTCAAACAAATCGCAGCCCATTCAAGGACCCAGAGACAAGATAAGCGGACCGCTTTCGTGGCCTCCCTTGTACAGATGTGTTCCCACTTGCCCGAGGCATTCGTCCGATCTTGTTTGCCGGATCCTATGGCAGACGTCGGAAAGACGTGCTGGGAGAAAGCATTGTTTTCTGCTAGACGGCGCCTCAGGTTGCTGTCTTGGCTCCATTTCCCAGATTTGGGCCAGATAGCAGATGGTGATGTTTGTGTTTCCGTTGCACAGACTCAAATGTGCTGACTGGAGGGTATCACAGCTGGCAGATTAATAACTCCGACGCGGGCCAGCCTCCAGTTTGGTCGGAGTGGCCGATGGTTTGCAGATCTCTCTGGCGATAAGTGACAGACAATAAGTTAGTGTGACAATAAGTTTTCATTGTGATTTTTAGAACTGACTGTCAG